CAGTTGCAGCAGCTTCGCGGTTGGAGGGCGGGCGGCTTTCGCTCTCGCCTCAGCGCCGCGCAGATTCGATTTGAACGTTTGAAACAGCTTTACGGATGGAGGGCGGGTCGATTTCAAACTGTTGTGTTCGCTTCAGTGTTGCGCAAACTCGTCGCGAGGCTCGCAAGAGCTTCGCGGATGCACGGCGGGTGGTGTTCGACATGTGGTGATCGCCTTTGGCGCCGCGCGCATCAGCAGCTTCCAGGAGGAGGGGGGGTGGTCATTGTCAACACGTTGCCCTCCATTTTTGCGCCGCGGGTAATCGTCTTAAACGCTTGCAGCCGTTTCAAGAATGAAGGGCGTTTTGTTCAACATGTGGTCTTCCCCATTAGCGCCGCGCGCATTGAGTTGGGAACTTTGCGACGGCTTGAAATACTCCCACAGTCGAAGTCCCCGGAATGGTGTCCTGGCACGATTTACGAACGATTGTCAGAACGCAGCGGTCACGTTGATCCGCGGTGTTGAAGGCCCACGGAAGGCGTTCTGGGTGGATTTCGGATTGCCAGGGCGCAACAGTCTTGTTGGTTTTGCGACGCTGAAGTCCAAGCATTTGTGTTTTGCGCGATTGGGGATTCTCGGGCGTTTGTCTTCCATTCGGCCATTTGCCGCAATGCTGTCAAATTCTTGCAGGGCCCTATGAGGAGAGAGCTTGGAGGGAGGGTTCGTGGCACCATCGTTGAAGAGTCTTGGGTTTACACTGGTCCTCTTCCTCCCCCCCTCACTATCCTCCCCCTCCTCAGGGGCCCTCCTCACTATCCTCTTCATATTCGCTGGTTCCCCTCATCGTGATCAGCACTAGCAGCACCATCATTATCATTAGCACGACTTCTGCCATTGCCATTACCTTTGGCCTTACGGTCGTTATCTGCATCAGCGCCAGGAGCCTGGGGACGCGGTGACATTCGTACGGGGCCCGAACATATACACCACCACCACCTCCCCCTCCTCCTCCCTGCCCCAGGAGCGAGGAGAGGAAGAAGAGTGCAGTGGAGGGAGGAGGAATCGACGTGGTGGTGGCGTATACTCTTGGGGCCCGCAATTCGACGACCGCCCCCCCGGAGCCTCCCGTGGCCGCCGGGCGCGGGGGGCACGCGCCCCGACCAGGGGCAGCAGCGGCGCGCGAGGCCGTCGCCCGGAGCAGCGGCGGGCGGCCGATGGCGCGAGGCGCACGCCGCCCAGGCGAGGCGGGCCTTATGGCGGCCGCCGTGCGGCCCGCCGCCCAGTACAGTCGGGGCGTTGACCTAAGGAGCCCTAAAGAAGGAACGAGGAGGCCCCTTTTTCCAGAAGTCAAGCTTCGATCTCCCCTCGAAGCCACAAGGAACACCCGAGGCAAGCTGTGAAACACTTTTAAGGAACATGGAGCCCCTCCCCAACGAACAGGGTTCCTTCTTCAGGGCCCCGACTGCAAGCAGACGAGGGCCAGGCAGGAGCTGGCCAAGCAGCAGGAGGAGCCAGGAGGGCGAGGGCTCGAGCGGGGCGGCGGCTCGCCGGCGGTGCGAGGCCGAGGCGGCAGGGTCGGCGACCGCGCGTGCTCCGGCAGCCACCGCGGCGCACGTGCGCCGGCGAGCAGAGGCCATCGAGGGCCACGTCGAGGCGGTCGCTGGCTTCGAGGCGCTGCAGGGCTCGCACTTGGCGGAGAAGTGGGCGCCCGAGGTCGCTCGGGTGGTATGTGTGCCCAGGTGAGCCTGCTGTCCGACGTCGGGGCCGGCCGCCAGAAGGGCGCGGTGCTCGTCGCGACGCGCGAGTCCCTGGCCCCGGCGCTGGAGTCGATCCGTGCGCAGGCCTGCACCAGGGGCTTCTTGAAGCAGGAGGTCGTCCCAGACACGGCCCTGCTGAAGGTGGCCGCGCAGGCCGCGCAGGTGGCGGTGCTGCGCGTCGTGGAGGCGGGTCGGCCGCGCCTCCCGCGGAGCCCGTCGTGCCAACCGCCGCCCGTCGTGCGCGCGTTCGGCGCGCGCCGCGCGCGCGCGGCGAGGCTTTCGCGTGCCCACCGGCTCCGGCCGTGCCCCGCCCGCGGAGGACGGCCTGTGGAGGCGGGAGGAGCACTGCAGGTCGGACCCCCGTCGGGGGGGGCGGGGTGAATGCTGCGTCGGCGCAGGAAGCAGGTCGGGCTGGAGGCCGGGGTGCTTGGCGACGTGCGCCCGCGCCGCTCGGTGCAGCCGGGCCCTTCCTGGAGCAGCAAGAGGTCGCAGGGAGTCCAGTTCCCGCCTCCCCTGCCCTCTTCCCCCCCCTTTCCTCGTCGTCGTCCGCCTCTCCATTCTTCTCCGCCCACTCCTCCCCCCCATCCTCCTCATCCACCTCCTGCCCTACCCCTTCTCCTCATCCTCCTTCCCCCCTCCACAGTGAAACATTATGGAAACTGTGATCCTCTCTCCCCTGATTCCGTCCGACAGAAGGCCGATTCTATCAGGGCATTTCTCTTGCACGGAGTTGGTCAAATGTGGTCTTTCCTACATTTCCAACCGGATGGTCTCGGTACTTCAAAATGTTGTTCCCGCTGCAGCGTGGGCCTCGCTGTCGGGTCGGCGCTGTGCTCCCGTCGTTCAGGATGGCGCTCTCGCCCCGGCCTGGGCCACTTTTCTGGATCCGAGGCCTTTTGCGCCGGTGTCGTCCCCCTCGTTTCTCCTCTTCCGCCTTCCCCTGCTCCTTCCGCTCCTCCTGATCCTTCCACTCCAGTCCCTGCTGCTGCTGCTGTTGTTCGTGCTCGTCATCGTCCTTCCACATCCTCCTGCTTTTCCTCCTGCTCCTCCTTCTGCCCACCCGACACCTCCTCTGTATGTGCGCAGGGCCATTTCCTGGTTGAACACGAAACGATGCTTGTTTGTTGGGGTTCCAGGTCGGCTCCGTCACGCGTCCGCGGAGAGAGAACATATCAGCGCAGTGTGAGGGGACGGGAGGGAGGGGCAGGGTGTCAGATGTGGCGCCAGCGCACCGAACTTACCCCCCCTTCTCATGCATCCGCCTTCCCTGCGAGCGCGCGCCGAATCTAGACACTAGGGATGGAGGCGCTGGCTGCTCGCACCAACGCGAGGAGGCTGCCGCAGCCGCATCAGCACGCCAGGTACAGTTTCGTTGGTGTGCTCAGCTCATCGTTGTCATCCTCCCGTAGAGATACATACCCGACTCAACCCTCGATCGCCAGCCCCCTGTCCCCCCCCCTCCCCTCCAGCCCGCCCCCTCCCCTTCGGCCTTCGCCCCCTCTCTGCCGCCCCCTTCGCCCGCCTCCTCGCCGCGAGAGGTCCTCGCCCCTCAGCCTCTCCTCGTCGTCCTTCGTCTCGTCCTGCTCCTCCATCAGCCACGCGCAGAAGCGGGGGAGGAGGAGGAGGGGGAGGAGGAGGAGGAGGAGGAGGAGGAGGAGGAGGAGGAGGAGGAGGAGGAGGAGGAGGAGGGAGGAGGGCTTCTCGGAAGCGCCCCTGCTTTGAAGAGGGCGCGGGCCTCACCTGCAGACGCGGGGCCGGCGCCGTCGGAGAAGCAGCCACCTTCTAGGAGGCCTTCCCCCACATCCCCCCAACCCCCTTGTGCGCGCGCGCCAGCCAGTTCTTCTCCCTTCTCCTCCGCCCCCACTTCTCCTCCTCCCTCCTCCTCCTCTCCTCCTCCTCCTCCTCCTCCTCCTCCTCCGCCTCCTCCCCTCCTCCCCTCCTCCTCCCCTCCTCAGCCTCTCTCTCCCCCCTCCCCCTCCCCCTCCTCCGCCTCCTCCTCCTCCTCCGCCTCCGCCTCCGCCTCCGCCTCCGCCTCCTTCCCAAAGGTCCACGGATGCCTTCCGAGGCCCAGCAAGGGGGCCCCCTTGACGCCCAGGAAGCCCGTGTCTTCGCCGCTCCTCGACCCTCGGCCCCTCGCGGCCTCGGCCCCGGAGCCTGGGCACTCGCCCCTCGGTCCTCCTCGTCGCCCCTCGGCCTCGGCCCGTGGCCCCGAAGTCGCTGGGCGCCGATCCTCGGCACAGCGGGGGCGCTCGCGGAGGAGTGCGCCCGGGGGGCTGCAGACCCTGGAGGGCTGCGGTCCTTCTCGTCGCCCCTCGGCCTCGGCCCGTGGCCCCGACGTCCCGGCACGTCGACCCTCGGTACAGCGGGGGCGCTCGTGGAAGAGTGCGCCTGGGAGGCTGCAGACCCTGGAGGGTTCCCTATCTGATGAGGGCGGCGGCGATATCCATGGCCGCCCCACGACGATTGGACTCGACGCTCCTGGTCGCTTCTCGGCCCCAGCGCTACCACGGCGCGCCGGGGAGGGCATCGAGACGGTGCGGCGGGACTGGTCGGACCTGGTGCGGCAGGGCTTGGACCAGACGCTGCGGCTGCTGCTGAGGCATCCCCCCCCCCCTCGCGGGGTCCCGTCCGCCCATGGGACAGCAGCGGCCAGCTGCAGGCGGAGCAGGACGAGAAGGAAAGAAGGCTTGGGAGGCAAGTCTGGTCTTCTGGAGCTTTGACGTGGAGGCATCCAGAGGCTCCCTGCGGGGACTGCAGGGGACCTCCAGAGGGACCGCCCCCTGAGACACCTGGAGATCTTCTCCGGAGGGGGGAGAGGGAGTGGGGGGGAGAAAGGAGGAGGGAGTAGAGAGCAGGGATGAGGGAAGACGGAAGGAGGGAGGAGGGAGGGAAGGGGAGGGAGAAGGCGCTGGCTGCTCGCACCAACGCGAGGAGGCTGCCGCAGCCGCATCAGCACGCCAGGTACAGTTTCGTGGGTGTGCTCAGTTCATCGTTGTCATCCTCCCGTAGAGATACATACCCGACTCAACCCTCGATCGCCAGCCCCCTGTCCCCCCCCTCCCCTCCAGCCCGCCCCCTCCCCTTCGGCCTTCGCCCCCTCTCTGCCGCCCCCTTCGCCCGCCTCCTCGCCGCGAGAGGTCCTCGCCCCTCAGCCTCTCCTCGTCGTCCTTCGTCTCGTCCTGCTCCTCCATCAGCCACGCGCAGAAGCGGGGGAGTGTCATGAGTGTCATGATCGCCACAGTCTACGTGGCAGGCGGGACTAGCGAGAGCCAGGGATCAACCGACGCCCCTCGACGCGTCGGACCCGACTGACCGCGGCCTCCAAGACGGGGGCCGAAGCACCCTTGCGGCCTGGGAAAAGCCCTCGACGAATTCGAAGAAGATTCTCGTGCCCTTTCTTAGAACACTGGGCGCACTCGCTGCGTAGTTGCCTCGGGTCGACAGTAGCCGAGCGGCCACACCGAGCACAAAAGTACAGCGAGTGTTCGGGCCAGAAATGCAAACAGTAACTGGGATGCAGAGACTCCCCCCCCACCGTCACCGCCCGCCTCACCCGAGATATTCCGTGGCTAAACTCCTGCAGCGTCTCGCTGTCATCCACAGCGGGGCAGGGCTGGCCGCAGGCCTCAAAGACATTCGCCGAGGGAAATATGGTCGAGCAAAGTGAGCAAATCCACTTCGCGCCAGTTTTTTTTTAACAGTGCGAGCTACCTCTACGGGCAGCCTGAAGTTTGGTGACAGTGGAACGGCCCATCTTGGGCCTGTCCGCGGTCCATGGGGCCACTCGAATGGATTCCGCCAGAGCTTGGGCGGCCCGTTGTCGAACCAAAAAACAGGTGGCATCCCATCGGTCGGTGTCTGGGATACGCCGACCACGAGTAGCAAGGTCCCAGGACTCCTGCGCCGCCTGGCCCGCCAACTCGTCAGCAGACTCATTACCCGCCGCGAGAAGAACCTGGTCCTCCGACAAGGAGGGGTCAGTGGGATCCAGGTGGGAAAGGGGGTCCACAGAACAGAAATCCCATTCTCGCGGCCCTCAAGGGCCAGGCGGATACGAAACCGAAGGTCCGAATTCACACCACTGCATCGAAGGAAACGGCGGCGCCTCCACCCCTCTAACAGGGCTGGTTGTCCGTAACATACTCGAAGTTCCCTGGGACATTGCGGAGAGCCAGCTCGAAGGCCAACAGCTCTGCCCTGGGGGCCGCCTGGCGGCGGCCTGAAATGGTGGAAGCCCAGACCTCAAGTCGGCACCACATGGTGCCATCCCAGGCCACCAGCACAGCGGCCGCGCCGACTCGTCGGCGGCGCGGGTCAGAGCTAAAGGCACCTCCTGAGCCATCTCCAAAAACCCGCAGGAGCCCTGCAGGGGACCTGGCCGCCTCGACAGAGGATCCCTCGGCTAACGGCGGCGGCGACCCCACCTCCCAAGCCACGTTCGCCCCCCCCTTCCTTGAACACAGGGCAGGTTAAAGACCTAGGAGGCAGGCCGCGGAGCCACAAGGCGGGATTCGCCTCGTGTCCCACTCTGGCCTGGTGGCTTAGACCGTCAGAGAGCTCAAAGGCCTCATGATTGCAATTCTTGGGCATTCCCACACTCTGTGGAAAAGCGTCTCAGGGGCCGAGCCGCATCGGGGGCAGGTAGTGGAAATAACATACCCCGCCTCAAGTTGGCGGACGTGGATCCACTGGCCTCCTGCCACGACAGTCGTGAGAAGGCCTACCTGCTCATACTGATCTCTACGCTCGAGACGCCTAAGTTCCTGGCGCAAAGGCTGGAGATCAGTCCCCTCGGCCAAGTCATCGCCGTGAGGGTGGGCCGCTGCCTGGGCCCACAAGAGCGCAGTTAAATCGCCCCTGAAATCATCAACCAACTCAACGACATCAAAGTCGCCTTCAAGGCGCCCAATGTCGTCTCGATCAGGGGAATGCCACACTTCATATTGGTCCCCCACGGGTCTGTGCCATTCAACAGGGGACACAGGCTTCCAACCAACGTCGAGTAACGTGGCGACGACGGCCCCGATCGGACCCCGCACCCGACGCCAGCGTTTCGAGGCCAACAGGTCCAGGCGGCCCCGAATGTGGCGCCACGCGCGAGAGATGCGGCCATGCAACTCAGGGAGCCGATTCCACATGTCAAACCACGTAAACAACACCTGAGCCCTCAAGGCGATGAAGGGCTCTCGCTCAGCATAAAACAGAGAGAGCACCGTGGTAAGACAACGGCCTGGGCTTTTACTGGCAACCGAGTGGGAAGCCTGGCGCCTTAAGGCTAGGAAAGATGCAGGGGAGAGGCCCATGGCCTGATGGCCATATACGGCCGGAGGAAGGGCACCCTGTAACCAAAGCCCCTGGGACACTTTGGCTGCCTTGGCGCGGCGACGCAGGCGTCGAATGCGCTGCGCGCGTGGACGGGCCTTCCTCGGACGGTCCAAAAGCTTAACGACCGCCCGACGGGCCCCACCTCCCGCGTCGCAACCCAGGTCAACAGCTTGGACCGCCAGGGAAGCTGGGATGCCGACCTCTCTCAGGTTGGCCACAATGCGCTTACCAACCTTAATGGGGGATGCAATGACCTTGGTCTTGGGCGAAACAGGCAGTTGATGCAAGGCAAACGATCGGGCGAAAGACTCGCCAATGGTGGAGAGCTGAGCAATAACATTCTCCTCGGTTCCCTCAGCCCGCGCCACGGTGTCATCAACAAAGGTCCAGAGGCCCGCGGAGGAGACAAGGGCACGGGCCCCCGAGGCCGCATGAGCGGCCGACAAAATCGGACCCAGGAAAACCTTGGCGAGTTTGACACCGCGAGCAGACCCTGCTACTATAGAGCGGGTGGGAAACAGTTAAATCCGACGCGATGTTCCTGGACCGAAGGGTCCTGGGAGCAAGGAACACCTGCACCTCTAAAAGGATGACAATCGAGGGGGAACCCTGCTCGACCGAAACACGCATTAGTAACAGCATGCTGACGTGGTCATAAAATTTTTCGAGGTCGAGGAGGAGGGAGGCCGAGGTGAAACCCAGCTGGAAGAAGGACTCATCTAAGATGGCCCTCTGCAGGGCCGCTCTGAGAGCCGAGGACCCTCGGATCGCCGCGTCCCAAAACTCACCGAGGTCCTGGGACCACGGGTCCGTGATCGGGGCCCGAGCTCTGGACCAGATTCCCATGCAGGTCGGCAGAACACCGATAACCGTGTCACCTCCTGAAGGTTTAGGGACGGTCGCTCCTACTGCAAGCAAAAGCTGGACAGGCCATGAGCCTACCCTCTCAGCTTCGCGCAGCAAGTCGCCGAACTGCTGGTGCCCCTCGGTCGGCAGCCTCCGAATGTCGACGGGGTTGGGGACATCCACGCCTCGAGCCTTGTTGGGAGCCATCCTGGAGACAACTCTCATGATGGAATCGTCCTCCAGCTCGCTGATGGGGTGGCGACGCGCGTGCTGGAGCAACTCTTGCATGCCCGTGCACAGGTCCTCCCGCGACGCCTGTGGATCCGTCCAAATGGTCCGCCACGCCTGCAACTTGTGCCCCCTGATCTTGCCAGGGTCCCCAGTGGCCTCCTCGGGCCCATCGCCAGGCACTTCGACCGCAGCAGGCTGTGGAGGGTCACGGACGTGACGATGGACCGCTGATGGTCTGGTGCGCCAGCAGCCCCTGGCCCACTTGACGTAGGCGGCGCCCGAGGACACTAAGGCCCTACCCCGGGAGCGCGAGCACCAAGTCCCCGTGACCTCACCAAACCGCTCAAGGGTCTCGACGTCCAACGGTGGCCAAAAGATGAGGCAGGCCACATTAAACCACTCCTGTACCTCCTGGTGAGCGGCCCTGGGTCCGAATAGAACGGCCCTCGGCGGGGCCTCGGCCTGGTCAATCAGGCCGGAGATGGAAATAGTCAGGGCCTCCTGCTGCACGGGGTTCCGATCGTGTCGGCGTAGGGAGGTATATCTTGTGACCAGCGACGACATCGTCCACCACAACTCCAAGGTAGGGTTACGCATATGAGTACGTCCTGGGGACGGCTGCAACTTGCGTCGGGTAAGGCCATACAAATTGCCGCGTCCAATGTACTGGACCTGCTGGTCGGATGGGATGCCTTCAGTACGTAATATGGCCAGTTCCAAGGTAGATACCCAGCGTTGATACGACTGGGAAATGGACTGTACGTCATCTGCCGAGCCTGTGGGGAAATCCCAAGCCTTCGAGTCCGAGCAGGTACTTACCCACGGCTGAGCCTCAGTAGCAGCGACGGCCCAGTCGTCCGACTCAACACGAAAGGGTACTTGCGCAGCTGCGTCAGCAGGCTCCTCATCCTCAGGGGGGTTGACTTCGTCGAAGACACCCTGCAGGTCGGCGCTGAGACGATCTCGTCTGCGAAAACGAGCTTCCTCACGGCGCCTCGAGCGCTTACTGTCAGGGTCTGAGGCCCTCTTGGGCCTGGGCCTCTGTGGGAGCTCACTGGGAGAATCCACGCAGAAGCGGGGGAGGAGGAGGAAGAGGAGGAGGAGGAGGAGGAGGAGGAGGAGGAGGAGGGGGAGGAGGAGGAGGAGGAGGAGGAGGAGGAGGAGGAGGACGACGACGAGGAGGAGGAGGAGGAGAGGAAGAGGAGGAGGGGGAGGTGGAGAGTCAGGCAGGCCCATGAGGATGAATCGTTCCTAGCAGCCCTCCATCCTCATCCTCACCTCATCCCTCATCAATCATCATCCATCAGCATCATCATCATCTCAATCATCATCATCCTCTCCTCCCTCTCCTCCCTCTCCCCTCCTCCCTCCCCTCCTCCTCTTCTCCTCCCCTCCTCCTCCTCTCCTCCTCCTCCTCTCTCCTCCTCCTCCTCCTCCTCCTCCTCCTCCTCCTCCTCCTCCTCCTCCTCAGAGCGTTCCAGGGCATCCTGAAGCGGCCGCGGCATCCTCCGGAACCGCCGGCTCGCAGAGAGTCCGGGTGTCTCTCGATCCGGGTTCGTCTCCATTCTGCTATCGTCCCAGAGAGGGATCGGGGGTGGACAGACCTCCTACCCTGACACGTCGATTAGTGAATTGGCCGTTTTCAGTTCGCGCGAGGGCGTCGCGGCCGTCATTTTTGCGGATCGAGGTCCGTCGGTTTCGGTCCCAGGCAGTTTTCACTAAGGGGAGGTTTACTCAAGGGAGATTGTCCACCGCCGAAGGGAGGTGGCAGGGTCGACTACAGTCGGCCCGGATTAGTAGGTCGACCCTGCCAGATCAAGGGTACCCTCATGTCCTGTGCTTTGCGACCCATGTCTCCTACATTCCTATGTCAATGTGGCCCTCGGAAGGGTATTGTGCCCTCTCGCGTGTCCTGTCCAATCGAGTCCGACTGTACACGCAAGAGTGACCTTTGGCCGAAGTGACCTTTGGTCTGGGGCCCCCCGATCGCCGAACCAGCGTCTTGTGCGCTTGTGTCTGGTCCCCCAGCGGCCCCGAAAAAGGCCGCGCACCAAAGGTCACACTTACCCAGGGTCGCTCTTGCGTGTATTCGGGGGGGGGGGAGGATCGATGATCCCCAGGACGTGTGTTAGCCTAATGTGTGGTGTGTTACCCCCTTCAGCCCAATCAGTAGATCATTACATCGCCTGGGTCGTGTCGAAGGGTACTCGATGGACAGCCACACGCTGGGGCTGACACAGCACACGTTCTGAGGATCATCGAACGGAGGAGCAGGAGAGGGGCGAGGGGCCCGGGGCGCGGGGCGGGGGGCAGCAGTGCAGCAGGCCCCCCCCCCCCCCATGCCTCCCGCGGCCTCCCGAGGCCCGAGGGGGGCGGCGAGGCTGCCGCGGTGGACCACGTGCAGAAGCTCTGCGCCCAGGTTCGCCAGCAGAAGGCCACCGACGACGGACGACGACGACGACGACGACGACGACGACGACGACGACGACGACGACGACGACGACGACGACGACGACGACGGCGGCGGCGGCGGCGGCGGAGGCGGCGACGACGGCGGCGGCGACGACGACGACGACGACGGCGGCAAAGATGGCGGCGACGACGACGACGACGGCGGACGTTGGACGACGAACGACGGCGACGGTCCGCGGCGGCGGCGACGGAGACGGCGACCACGGTGTCGGATGAAGGACGACCGACGACGAAAACGGCGGGGGAAGGAGGAAGGGGGAAAGCAGCAAGAAGGAAAATGGAATGACGACGAAGAAGCGAAGACGAGGACAGAAGGAGGGGCTTGGAGGGTAAGCAGGAAGAGGCATCTGTAATCCGGAAGAGGAATATTGAAGGAGGGAGGGATGAGGACACATGGGGAAGCAGGGGCTGACCGCCGAGGGAGAGACGGGAGTTGATTGACATCAGTATGTGGGAAAAACGCGCGGCAATTCCAGTGGTTGGCGCGCCGCGCAGTGTCTGCCACCGCGGAAGGGGCTGCCAAACCGCTCGAGAGCAGGACGACCTGCTGGTGAAATGCCACTGTGATTGTAGCGGTGGTCCGAGAGCCTTGCTGCGCCGCGACAGTGGGGAATGTCGGGTGCCAGCCCTTGAAGATGGATGGCCAGACGAGCTTGGCTCCATTCGAGCGGGGTCGCCTGGACAGCATGCCTGGATTACTGCAGACCTTGCGCTTCAGACGCGCAACCAACAGAGCGGCATCCGAGCAAGTCAACGCAGTGCACTTGGGATTTCTCAAAGGCAAAAGAAGAGCCGCGGGATCGATACGAGGGGGCGTAGCACAACCCCCTGGGCCGGGAACCGTTCCTTCGGACAACGGGGGCACATTTCATATTGGCAAACAGTGTAAACCGTTACCTAAGAATGGCACGAGCTCTTGGACGGTGGAGGCGGTTGTCCCACCACTATCTTGAGGGGGACGTTACAAGAGGTTGAGCCCCGGTCCATCGGGCATCAGTTAGTCGACAAGAGTTGCGACAACCCGAGATACCTTGATGGCTCCCGTGAGCCACTCCAATGTTTCCTGAGTCGGCTGGGAGTGGCGAGACAGAGTGAACTTGACCACCTTGCCCGCAAGGCCGTTCACCGTTTTGAACGCCGCCCCGTGTCGGTGGGGTCCGGGGAATCATCAACACGGGCTTTCGTTTTGCAGACTCCGCCGACAAGCTCACGATGGGTGAGGAGAGGGACCCCCTGATGTTTTCTCTTGGTGTGCAACGCCATATACAAGGATCCGCTTGCTTGGACCACTACGTTCCTACAGTCAGAGTGAACCGGAAAAAAAACAGCATGGCATGGTGGTAACGGCGTAAGCCCCGAAGCTCCTTTTGCAATATGTGCATATGGAGCCTAATTCGGCCCGCTGAGTTTAGCCAGCGCGTTACGCTTTTATCATTTACAATGACTGTGCCCCGCACAGCTCGGGTATGAGATCGGCCATGTAGGATCCGTCGACGACGATCTGTCCAGATGCCTCGAAATCGTTGCGCGTAGGATCTGCACCCACCTGACCTCAACTCAGTGAAATGCTGCGCCTTCTCGAGTTGACCTCGGAACATGCATCGCGCTCGAAGAGCCCACGGGTGAAAAACAACGTTCTCCTCATTGACATGTGGGTCGAGGCCTAAAGCGGGGGCGATGTCATACACCTTTGCGGCTGTCGAGTATGCTGGTCACCGTCATGGATGGGCATTGGCGCAACCGAATGATAATGGTGCCCTTGTGTTCGCCGCGCAGCTCGCATTTGGACAATAGGACCTGGTATCAGGCAGGCAGGGCTCTGGACCCCGTCAAGAGTGCTACGCGGCAGAGTGCCTTAACACTTCCTTCTCGATAGGGGGCGCCGCGAGACGATCTGAGATCAGCCGCAATAGCGGGGCCACGAAGCTCGTGAGGGGTGTGCCGAAATGGGCGTGGCGGTGCCGTGCGGACGCAGCCACTGAGGCATTCGGTGGAGCTTCTCGTGGGGCCACGAAGCGTGTGAGGGGCGTGCCGAAGTGGGCGCGGCGGTGCCGTGCGGACGCAGCCATTGGCCTCCGGTGGAGCTCCTGATGGGTCACGGGAAGGTGCGCCGAAGCGGGCGCGGCGCTGTGCGAGCGGAGCCATGTGGGCCTTCTGTGGAGCCCCTTATGGGGCTGCAAAGCGTGTGAGGGGTGTGCAGAGATGTGCGCGGCCGTGCCGTGCGAGCGCAGCCACGGGGCTTTCTGTGGAGCTGCCGAGACGGGCGCGGCGGTGCCATAGGAACGCAGCCACTGGGGCATCCGGTGGAGCTCCCTAGGGGTCCACGAAAAGTGTGAGCGGTGCGCCAATTCGGGCGCGGCGGTGCCATCCGAGCGAAGCCACTTCGGTGGAGCTCCCTGTGGGGCCACGAAGCGTGCGAGGGGCGTGCCGAAACGGGCGCGGCGGCGCCATGCGAACGCAGCCATTGGGGCCTTCGGTGGAGGTCCCTGAAGAGGCCGCGAAATGTGTGAGGGGCGTGCCGACATGGACGTGGAGGTGTGCCATGCGAGCGGAGCCATCGGGACCTTCTGTGAAGCTCCTTACAGGGCCACGAAGCGTGCTAGGGGTGTGCAGAAACGGGTGTGGCGGTGTCATGCGAACGCAGCCATTGGGGGCTTCGGCGGAGCAGAGGCAAGCATGGGAGGAGGAGGAGGAGGAGGAGGAGGAGGAGGAGGAGGAGGAGGAGGAGGAGGAGGAGGAGGAGGAGGAGGAGGAGGAGGAGGGGGAGGGGGAGGGGAGGAAGATGAAGGAGGAGGAGGAGGAGGAGGAGGTGGAGGAGGAGGAGGAGGAGGAGGGAAGGAGGAGAAGGATGAGGAGGGGGAGGAGAAAGAGGAGGAGGAGGACCAGTGGAAACCCAAGACCCATCAAGGAGGGTTGAATACACCCTCCCTCAAAGCTCCTCCTAATTGGTCGCCACTGCCGCGGGGCCAGGGAAATGGATTAGACGCCTGGCGGTCGCTGAGCCCAAGCACCAGGATCATGACGAAGGACAGGAGCAGGAACGACCGTGGCCGGCGATCCACCGCATTGCTTGCAGAACCTTTCTGGGCCAGGGTTCTTGCAGCAGGCGCAGGAGCCGCATCGAACCTTCGAGACGTCGTAGTTGGTGCAGGCATCTGGCTTCGGATCTTGATAGCGGTCCCACCGCTGACGCCCGATGTGGTGTTTCCTCAGTTTGCCATGGGGGTTGATGGCGTGGGTCTCTCTTGTCGCTCTTGCCCTTCCCTTTGCCTCCATTGCATGGCTGAGTTGTCATGCAAACGATAATTGTTTACGATCGAGCCGAAAGGCCCGTAGACACATGCCGCGCTGAAGTTGGCGTCAACAAGCACAAAAATCACCCGTGCCAGAACGACCCACGAGGAACGAGTGAACATTGCATTGGAAGGGAGCTCGAACGAGGAAGGGGACAGGCGAGAGCAGTGATGGGTGATGCGTGCGGATGGATCAGGCACGTGGAATGCAAGAGGAAGAAGGGGGGAGGAGCGATGAGGGAGGAGGGACGAGGAAAGAGAGGAGGAGGAGGAGGAGGAGGAGGAGGAGGAGGAGGAGGAGGAGGAGGAGAACGAGGACTGAACGCTACAAGCCTGGCCCTTGAAGTCCGTCCATCTGTAAAAAGGAGAACGAGGAGGAGAACGAGGAGGAGGAGGAGGAGGAGGAGGAGGAGGAGCAGAACGAGGAGGAGGAGGAGGAGGAGGAGGAGGGCTGGAGCTCCCCCAGGGAAGACTTCGGCGCAAGTTTGGCGCCGCTGCCCGCGCCGCGCCCAGCGCGCGAGCCCCGCCCAGGTGGACATCGGGAAGCTGATCATCTCGAAGTCTCTCGGCCGGGAGGACATGCGCGTTCGATGCTCGTTTTGGGGACCCTTCTGGGGCCTACGCAGTGGATCTGTTCGGCTCGACTTCGACTCAGGTTCGACTCAGGTTCGACTCAGGTTCGACTCAGGTTCGACACGGGCCGACGGACGTTCGACGCAGCTTCGACGCACGAGTGGAGCGAGTGGCTCCAAGAAGGTCCCCCGAGCGAGCGTCTAAGGCGCGAGCGGGGATCGCCTCCCAAGCCTTGAGGTTCGAGTCGGAGGCGACGATAGGGGCGAATAGCCCAGGGGGGAGCAATACTGTATTGCTCCCCCCTGGACACATGTATTGAATACATGTGTCCAGGGGCGCTGGTGACCCATGTCTTCGGCGAGGCTTCCTGGTGAATGCGTGTAATGCCTGCCCTTGGGCTATTCGCCCTTATAGTCGCCGCCGATATCCAAACCTTGAGGTTCGAAGATGTGTGACCACATGTTCAACATTTGGGCCTCCGGCGGCCTCCGAGAATCTCCACCCCCAGAGCGAGAGAGACTTCC